CTGGACAAGCGACCTGGACTCCCGGCTTCATCTAGGTCTGGCTGGAGATAGCTCGCCTTCCCCTGGAAGACCACGGAAGGGGTGACCAGACAGCCTCAGTTTTAAATCTCTGCATGCCCTCTTCCCAGCCAAGTGCTTTGGTTAAGTCATTCAACTTCTCTGCTTTAGCTTCCTTAGCAGTGAAATGGGGATGATGATACTGTCTTCGAGTTTCTGTAAGAATTAAGAAGTGCCTGGGGCATACGGGGCTTATAGCCAATACTTTGTATGTTCTCAGCATCATGGGGCCAGTGTGAGATTTGGTGAGATTATCACACAGGACTGTCCGTATTCTACCTGCTGTTACTCATGAGCTGGGGAGAAATGAGCTAACTTGGAGCCCAGAGATAGGGTTGGGGCTGTCCCTCTTCACTTCCCTGTCATACACATTGGCGCTAAAGGAAGCCATGTGTTTTCCTTCCGTTCTGTTGTGTGAGTTACAGTTGAGTCCCAGGGTGTTAGGGAAATCCGGACCGGGGTGTTTATTAGTTATTTACTGCTGTATAACAAATCACCATAAACTGAGTTGCTTAAAACAATGTGTATTTATCAGTGTCTTTGGGTCAAGAGTCTGGTGTGTCGTAGATGGGTCCTCTGCATCAGGATCTCAAAAGGCTCCGATTATGGTGTCGGTCAGGACAACATCCTTATCGGTTCAGCTGGGCAAGGATCTAAACCCCTGTGATTGTCAGAACAATTCAGTTCCGAGGGCCTCGCTTCCTAGCTTGCTGTTGGCTCTAAGCCCCATCGTCTGTTTGCCATGTGGATCTCCAACATGGCCGCTTGCGTCACCAACGCACACAAGCCAGGAAGGCAGCAGGGAGTCTGCTAGTCGCAGAAGTTACCGTCTCGTGTATCCTGAGCAACGGGCATCCCATCACCTTTGCCATCTTAGGCCAGAAGGAAAAAAAAGAGCCACACATATCAAACTTGCACACCTGCTGGTTAGAAGCAAGTCGTGATGGTTTTCTCTTGCTGCTACGACAAATTACTTCAGACTTGGTGGCTTACGGTTCTCTGGGTTAGAGGTTCAACATGGGACTGACAGGGCTAAAATCAAGGTCTCGACAGGGCAGTATTCCTTTTTGGGAAGCTCCAGGGGAGAATCCATTTCCTTACCTTGTCCAGCTTCTAGAGGCTTCCACACCCCTCAGTTAGTGACACTCCGCCCCATCTTCAAAGCCAGCAACACTGCGTCTCTCTGACCCTTCTGCAGTCACCTCTCCCTCTTACTCAGACTTTAGCCAGGAAAGATTCTTCTAAGAGCTTTTATTAGGTTGGGCCCAACCACATCATCCAGGATGATCTTTCCATCTCAACGTCCCTGTTCCTGATGGCATTTGCAAAGGCCGTTATTCTGTCTACTCAGTGGTAGGTCCTGCCTGTGCTCAGGAGGAGGGAGTTGGAGAAGGGCGACAGTAACAGGAGGCAAGGACCACCAGGGAGCTGTGGCTCTCTCCCCGTCACTGGGTAGGAGGCACCTAATACAGTTTCGTCACAGGCAAGTTTTCTTTCTGGCCTCCACCACCCACCAGGGGATGCTGGGTGACGTGCCTTCTGTGGGCCAACTAGGGTTCTTTGTTAACCAAAGAAGCCAACCCGGGCTGCCATAAGGAAGAAGACGTTTCTCGGAGGGCCCCAGTGGGACCACAGAACGAATGGAAGGCTGGAAAGCTGCCCTTGGAAAAGAACAAGAAGGCAAGTGGCTGTGTGATCTAGGAATCGGGGACAATCTGTGACAAACGGGCCCTAGCAAGAACAGTCTGGTCCAGAAACAGCCAGTGGGAGACAACAAAGTGCCAACTGTCTCCACTCTAGTTGATCACAATGCAAGTCATTTTTGGCTGAAGAGGCATTCCAGCATGGGTCCATATGCCTGGTTGGGTGGCTCCTGTGGCTCTGTCATCCCCCTGGGCCTCGGAGTCCTTCCCTTCCAGCCGGTGGGTAGGGAAAGCATGGAGAACGCTCCAGGAGGTGTGTGCGGGCCAGACCTGGGAGTGGCTCTGTCACTGACATTCACGCTCGCTACCACTTGGTGGCATGGTCCCATCTCATTGTGAGGGAGACCTGGAGATGTCGTCTGTGTGCCCAGGAAGAACGAGGACTGGATTCTGGCGAGCTTGAAGCAAGGATGTCTTTGTAAATAAAGTTTTATTTGAACGCAACCATGCCCGTCCGTTTACCTACTGTACACGCTGCATGGGCAGGGCAGTGACATGGTGACTGTCCCGCCTGCCAGGCCTGAAAGGGGGAGACTCTGGCCTTCTACAGAAAGAATATTGAGCCCCAGTGTAGTGCAGTCTCTGCAGAAAGTACAATGGTCCCTGTTTCTTGGCATCCACGGAGATGGGGATGTAACGGCTGTTAGCCTTACCTAGTGTGTTGTAGCGCAGGTGAAAAAGGGATTGCGAGCAGTTAGGAATCCGGGACGACCTCCTTGCATGTTAGTACTTCTGCATTAGGGCTGGCCTGCCATCTGTATATAATGCCACCGAAAGCACCAACTGTGATATTTTTCCTTTCTCTGTGGGTTTATGTATTTCCACATCTCTTCCTGAGAAGTTGAGACCTCGTTCCTTTGGGAGTCTTCACTGAGTCCCTGCTGGGAGCCAGACTCAGGGAAATGAGACCTGTTCCTGCCCTGGAGAAGCCCCCCAGCTAGCACGGGAGAGACAGCCATGTAGGCTGGTATCTGGAGTCCATTTGGGAGAAGCACGGTTAAAGAAAGTCAAGAGCTGTTCCAGCACAAAATGCTGTCAGAGGGCGCTGGCGGGCTTCCCATACGGGGTCGTTGAGGGTGGACCTTAAAAGTCGGATGGGAGTTTGCCAGAGAGGCGGGGTGTCAGAGGCATTCCAGACAAGGACAGTATGTGATCCTCTCCGAGCAAACATTTATCTGGTACCCACGGCAAGCCTGGTCCTGTGCCAGGTCCACAATGTAGCCGTGACCCCAGACAGATGAGGGCCATGCCCGTAGAGTTTATGCCCAGCCAAGAAGGCTGCTGTGGAATCACGACACATGCGATGCCGTCACAAAGGACACGTGTGGGAACCTAGAAGGGAAGAAGTCTGTGTGGTCTCTCTGTCTTTGGAAAATAACTTTAGATAATTTTTTACTTTTATTTTTTTATCCTGTTTATTTATTTAAGATTTTTTTTTTTTTTTTTTTGACAGAGAGATCACAAGTAGGCAGAGAGAGAGGAGGACGTCAAGCTCCCCGCTGAGCAGAGAGCCCAATGCAGGGCTCGATCCCAGGACCCTGAGACCATGATCTGAGCTGAAGGCAGAGGCTTAACCCACTGAGCCACCCAGGCACCCCTTTTATCCCATTTTAATTTAATTATTATTAATTTATTTTTTCATCACGATACATGCACTACTCAGTCCCTATCCCCTGTTTCACCCATCCCTCCCTCTGGGAACCATCAGTTTGTTCTCTAGAGTTAAGAGTCCAGAGTCAAGAGAGTCAAGAGTTTCTTGGATTCTCTCCTCTCTCTCGGCTCGTTTGCTTTGTTTCTTAAATATCACAGGAGTGAGATCACATGATAATTGTCTTTCTCTGACTGATTTCCCTTGGCCAAAGCTCCTGCTAGTCATTGCAAATGGCAAGATCTCAATTTTTATGGTTGAATAATATTCTAACACACACACACACACACACACACATCACATCACATGTTCTTCATCCGTTCATCTATCAGTGGACACGTGGGCTGCTTCCATAGTTTGCCTGTTATAAAAATGCTGCAGTAATCCCAGGGTACACATATCCCTTTGAATTAGTGTTTTTTGTATTTTGGGGGGCAGATACCCAGGAATGCGGTTGCTGGGTGGTAGGGTAGTTCCATTTTTAATTTTTGGAGGAACCTCCATATTCTTTTCCATGGTGGCTGTACCAGTTTGCATTCCCACCAACATGGGTCTGGAAGACGGTTCCTCTTTCTCCTCATCCTCGCCCACACTTGTTTCTTGTGTTGTTGATTTTAACCGTTCTCACGGTTGGAGGTGAAATCTCACTGTGGTTTCAATTTGCCTTTCCCCGATGAGGCGGGCTATAGAGCATCTTTCCGTGTGTCTGCTGGCCATCTGGATGTCTTCTTTTGGGGAAATGACTGTTCATGTCTTCTGCCCATTTTGTAGTTGAATTATTTGTTTTTTGAGTGTTGAGTTGTGTCGGTTCCTTATATATTTTGGATACTAACCCTTTCTCGGGTATGTCATTTGCAAATATCTTCTCCCATTCAGTGGGTAGCGTTTTAATATATATTTTTAAACTCTCAGTGGTTGACGTCTTGGCCACTGGATGTCATCACAGATCAAGCTTCCCCCCACCCCAGTGTGATTTTATGAAAACCTACAAACGTACGTATTTAGGTGTGCAATTTGGTGTTTTGCCCTAATTGTTCTTTCTTCCCCCACCACCTTCATCAGGCTAGGCCGGCAGAGGGGCCCCATGGCTGAAGACAACCGAGAGCCCCTGGCAGGAGCCGGCGCTCTCCGGGAAGCCCTCTGGGCGCTCCTGCCCCCCACGAAAGAGGAGCTGGTGCCGGAGCTCGGGGAGAAGGTGGAGCTTGGCATGGCGCGGCTATTGCAGGAGGCCACTGAGCTGTTCTGCGGGGGCCGCCGGAGCGAGTGTCTGCAGGCCAGCGAGGCCATCCTGGACTACTCCTGGGAGAAGCTCAACACGGGCCCGTGGCGGGACGTCCACAAGGACTGGCGCCGCGTCTACGCCTTCGGCTGCCTGCTGAAGGCCGTGTGTCTGTGCGATGAGCCCGGGAACGCCCCCGCGGTGGCAGAGGCCCTCAAAGTCTGTGACATGGGCCTGCTGATGGGGGCGGCCATCCATGGGGACATCCTCATTAAAGTCGCTGCCATCCTCCAGGCACACCTCCCCTCAGGAAAGCGGCCCGGCCCAGCCCGGCAGCAGCCCGGCACGAAGGTATCTGGGTGGGGGTGTTGCCTGCCACACCTCACGCGCCCCCACAGCCCGCTTTTTTCTAGAAGGGAGGAGTCAGCTGTCCTCAGGGCCGAGGCCTGGCAGCATGCCGACCTCTGGCGGGAAAGAGCATCTCTGTGGATTTAGAAATGGAACGGCTTGGTCTGCTTTCTCGGTTTTTCCCCACCACGTTCTGCAAAAGCAGTGCCATTTCAGGAGAGACGGAGCGGAAGCCCTGCGGTCCCCGAGAGCAGCAGCTCAGAGGGCTCGTGTGGGCCCGCCTGCAGGCAGCCGTAGCCCACACCTTCCAGACGGTTCTCGGTCAGCTCGCTGAAGCACCACCCACTTTCCGGGCTGCCTCGCTCTCGGTGCTGCCTCCAGCTGCCTCCGGGCTCCGTGGCTGGTCGGTCCCGCCCGTGAGGGCCTGGCGTGGGTGGTTCCTGGTATTTGGGGGCACGAGGAACACGGCGCAGAGCTGAGGGCGGTGGCAGACAGCATTCAGGCCCCGGCGCTGGGTGCAGCCCTAACCTCTGGGCATGTGTGTTCGCCAGGAGGAAATAGGTCTGACGCAGGCGTGTGGGAACACAGTCCACCTCACCTGTGGGTTAAAAAGAAAAAAAAAGGCAAGAACAGGGAGACAGCCAGTTTTGGCTATGAAATCCTCAGGGGAGGTTTTCTGTGATACCCAGTGCTGCTGAGGACGCCAGGGGGCCATGGGCATGGTGTGTCGGTTGACCTTTCCGGGGGCAGGGCAGACCTGCCTATGCCCTCGGACCTAGGGTCTGCCCTTCCATTTCCCATGCCAAGTCTGTCCCAGGGGAGCATGGAGGTGGGCCCCATCCCCAAGGTGGTGCTCATGCGTGGGCAGCGTTGGGCAATGTGTGCAGCTGAGGGGGACGGTACGCTCCAGAAGGGCCCCTTCTCCAGGAGCCCGGGTTCTAGGAGGCTGTCGACGAGCGTCTTGTCTCACGTGGTGAGAAAGGAGGGCAGGCAGCGTCGCTCACACTGACAAGGGCAGGTGTGACAACCAAAGCGAGGGTGTACAGGCCGAGAACCAGGCCAACGGTTGGTTGGCCTTGTGCCCGGCCTGCGGGGTGATCCTGGGCACTCTGCCTGGGGGGGGCTCCTCTCTGAGTAACATGACAGATGAGGAAACTGAGGCTGGAGAGAGTGACTTGCTCAGGGCATCCAGCCGGCTGGCGGCTGAGGCAGTTCTGGTGCGGCCACTCCCACTGGCTCGCCGGGATGGAGACCTGCTTCAGCTGGGGGGCTCGTCTCCGCGTGTCCCTGCCGGGGCAGTGGAACCTGGGCCAGGAGCACGTGGTCACGGGAAAGAGTCCTCGGACACCAGACGGCGTTTGGGATGGTGACTTTTCCTCTCGTGGAGTTTCGGTGAAAGCCGTGCGTTCCTTTTCTGATCGAACGGACACTTGAGCTGGTAAAGAGAAAAGTCTGGGTGTTGCCAGAATGAGCAGGAGGAGGCGCAGGGACAGCGCGGGCCCCTGGTGCTGCCGTCATCAGTGACAGGGAAGCTATCCCGCTGGGGACGTGGATGTCCAGCGCCTGTAGTGTTAACTTCTCCGCGCTTGTTTCCACTGTGTTTGGATTTTAATCAGAAAGCGAGGAACGACGGTGTTCCAGTTCCAGATGTGGCATCAGAGAGACCGGTCCCCCGGCTTCGCTGTCCGTCCCTCCAGCATTTCAGGAAGCAATTTCTGGCTCCCGGGAGGCCTGTGATCCTGGAAGGTGTGGTGGACCAGTGGCCGTGCATGACCAAGTGGAGGTGAGTGGCTCTGCCCCTCTGCAGCCCCCACTCCTGGGTGCCTCCCTGCGTCCCAGGGACATGCAGCCTCGCACGCATGTCCCGACCGTCCACTGGGCAGTGGCCGACGTGCCGCAGCTGCGAGAAGGAGCAGGGGTTTCTGAGAGTGGGGGATCGGGTCCGCGATCTCCCATGGGGTTTGGAGGGAGTAGTTCCCACCAAGGCTGTGTGAAGAGTTGTGGCTGCAAATGTTCATGATGAGTTTTACTATGGACCTGCCACCCGATCGGCGCGTGCCGTGTTTTCTTTCTGTCCTCCCCAGTTCCCATCAAATAGGACAGGTACGGTCATCACCCCAGCTTACAAGCGTGGTGAATAAATAACTTCCTGGAGGTCCCCGGCCGGTGATGGGCAGGCCAGGCCCCCTTCAGCTCAGACGCCAGCACCCCCGCCATGCTGTCTGCTGTTTGCTCAGAGGTTTCTCTGTTCAGAGACCAGGGAAGCAGAGAGAGAACTGGGAGGCTGTTGGCCAGCAGGGCAGTAGAACCGCCCAGCCAGAGCCTCGGCAAACCAGCCTCCGTGAAGAAGGGGTCACAGCAGTCTCTCCCTGTAGGGTGGACACCAGAGGAGGCCAGAATGGCCGAGTGCCCAGCAGGTCTTAGGCAAAGCCACACGTATCTGTCTCCTAGTCTGGAGTATATCCAGGAAGTTGCCGGCTGTCGAACTGTCCCAGTGGAAGTCGGTTCCAGGTACACAGATGAAGAATGGTCGCAGACTCTCATGACGGTCAACGAGTTCATCAGCAAATACATCCGGGATGAGGTATGTCGTCGTGCCTCCTCGCCTCAGCGCTTCCCAGATGTCCCGGCGCTGCAGTCCAAGGATTTGGAGGGGCTGGTGGGGGGCCCAGAGCTGGACGCTGACTCATTTCAGCTCCTTTTTTTTTTCCCCCTGGTACAATTCAGTGGTGTTTTTTTTTTTTTTTAAATTGTCTTTGTAAGATTTTGCAACCATCACCACCAATTCCAGAACATTCTCATCACTCCCCCAAGAAACGGTGTAGCCATGAGCGTCACTTCCTCTTCCACCCTCCCCCATCCGCAGACAACCGCTAACCTGCTTTATGTTTCCGTGGATTTCCCAATTCTAGACTTGGCGTAGAAGCGGACTTGGACAGCATGTGGCCTTCTATGTCTGGCTGCTGTCAGCTCCGCACTCTTAGGGTTCCCTACTGTGGCTGTCCCGGGCCGTGGACACACCACACTTTATCGCCAGCTGATGGCCGTTCAGGTGGCCTACGTTGGCTGGTGTGAAGATCGCCACTGGACACGTTCCCGTCCAGTTTCTGTGTGGACGTCTGTTTTCGTTCCTCTCGGGTGTATACCAGATACGGAATCGCTGAGTCACACGGTGACTCTGTGACCATTTTGAGGAACTGCCAGAGGGTTTCCAAAAGCAGGTCTATTGTGTTATCGTATCACATTGGTCGCAGTGAGGGCCGGGGCTGGCCTCCCCTTCCTGAGGCCCGGGCGGCTGGGAACATAGCCCTTGTGCCCTGGAGCTCCCGAACCGTTCCTCTGGGCTTGGGGGGGAAGCCCACACACGGCACACAGACCTGGATGTCCACCCAGCCTCCGCAGTCGTGGCCGCCCCTCCTGGCCCGGAGAGCAGAGTCCTTCCCGAGGTCGGGGAATTCCGAATCCACGGTCTGCGACTGTTCCCCACACTTCCCGCAACCCACACCCGAGGCAGCCTCAGCCCCAGCCCCTGGAGAGTTCAGATTCCGTTTCATCATGGGTCTGCTGCAGTGCAAGGGTCCCTGGGGGTGGCCACGTTGGCTGACGGTCTGAAACACGGAAGAGTAACACAGAAAGCTCTGAGCGCAGCATGGTCGGCGCCCAGCTAACCTGACCTCATCTTTGGGCCAGAATCTCCGTGAGAGCAGAGATCCCACAGATGGGCCCTGCCCACCCGGGAGGCCTGGGTCTGGCTTTGTTATGACTTATGGAGTCGTCAGGAAGAGAAGGGAGTGAGGGAGAGGGCTGGAAGCACAGAGTCTCGAGGGATTCTAGAGCGAGGCCTCACATGCTGTGAGCCTCTGAGCCCATGAGACCTGGGCCGGCTGCGCTCTAGCTGTGGCTGGGGGGAGCGGGGCCAGCCTCCCGCGGGCTCCAGCCCCCAGTGACCCTGCCAGAGCCCACACCACCCCCCGAGAGGGCCTGAAGCCTTGTGGAGCCCGGTTTGTAAGGCAGCGATCTTTCCATCCGTCTCATGGTGGAAATGTTCACAAAACGCTCGTCTACCAGGAGTGCGGGCTGGGAGGTAGGAAATGGCTACTCAGTTGTGCTGGGAAGACAGTCGGTGGTTAATTTGGGGAAAATAAGTGGGCAGAAGCTATTAGAATTTAAAATACACACAGTCCTTGACTCAGTTGTTCTATTTTGGGGAGGACATATAAATACAAGGACCAGAATATTGGGCTGTTCGCGGAAACACTGGCTAAGGAACTTGACTGCCCAGCAGCTGGGGTGGTTGAATTATTGAGGCGTCCTACCTGCAAAGTGTTTGTCAAAAAAAAGTACAGACTCACCTGAGCAGCTGTTCGTGGGGTTGTCATTAAGTGGAGCGAACATTTCAAAGTAATAATAGGATACGATTCCATTTTTATTTATAAAAGAAATCCTCAGTGGGGAGAAGGCAACAGAGCCCGGGGCCAGTCCCTACAGAGGCAGCCCCAGATCCTGAGCCTCCCCAAGGCCCAGCCCTGACTGCGAGGGGCAAAGAGGGGACCAAGTGGGGACAGGACACAGTGGAGGGCTGTTGCCAGCTGGTGGCCCGCGGCTGGGGTGCGCCAGACCCGGGAGCTAGTGGGACAGCAGCCCCCGAGGCTGCTCCTTACGACTCACCAGGTTTTTTCTGTGTCACTTCCGGTTTCTCTTCTGTGGATTAGTCGAGGGACGTCGGGTACCTCGCGCAGCACCAGCTCTTTGACCAGGTAAGGCTGAGACCACGCTCCTCTGTCCTCGACCCTGACATGTTCTTCCACCTCCCTGCCTGGGCTTCAAGCCCAGAAGGCAGGAAAGGCTCTAGCAGCCTTGTGGGCCACCTACGGGGGTGGCATCCACGTCCCCCTCACCAGCGCGCAGCAGGTGGTGAGCAGGAAACTGGCTGTGCTGACCCCAGGGCCACAAGCCTGGGGGGCGGGGGAGGAGGAGGGGAGGGAGGCCATGGTGACGGAAGGAGGGGGCCCCATCGGGTAGAGCCAGGAGTCGGAGCAGGTGTGGCCGGACCCGGAGGAAGGGTCCTGGGCAGCCAGGTGAGGGCGGCAGGCTCTGACCTGAACCAGAAAGAGCAGGTCGCTGCTGTCCTTGACTGTGGGTTTTCTCGGGGCTGGGGGGCAGGGAATCCTGGCACCATCCTTTTACCCCATCTCCGTTGTCTGCTCACGAGGCCGTCTCCCCACGGCTGGGCTGGCATGCTCCTGGCAGGGGCTGGGTTTGGTTCCTCTGGGTCCCCAGCCCTGCTTGGCCAGACTGAAGACCCTTAGGACAGACTGGCCAAAGGCTGTCAGCGGAGGGGGTCTCGGGCTGGGGTGGAGGAGGAGTAGGGTGCACCCAGGCTGGAGGACGTTGCAGGGAGAGGCCCCCTGTGCAGCGAGGCTTGGGGGCGCAGTCTGGAGCAGGCCTCGTGTGCTGGGTGCGTCTGCTGGCCTGGGAGGGTGCGTTCAGAAGAGCAGAGCTAGAAGGCGAAGAGGGAGGCTGGGCCTCCACATGGGCGAGCCTTGAAGGCCAGACCAAGACCTCGGATTTATCTGCAAGACAGTGGGGAGCCCTAAGAGGTTTCGGAGCAGGAGGGTCCGAGGAAGAGGAGGTATTGTGGGGAGATCCGTCAGGAGAGCCGGGTGGCTGTGAGGGAGGGAGCCTGGAGGCAGAAGTCCTGTGCCAGCTCCTCCCTCATGGTCCGCCTGAAGAAGGGAGCATCCCACGGTGGTCCCACCGGCGTCCCTCAGCGCCCTGGGAGGGATGGAAATGCAGGCTCGGTCCCAGCCCCCACCCTGGCGCCCAGTGAGGAGGGGCACTCACGACGCGGTGGTGGGACCCCAGGGGCTGCCTGGCGGTGAGAAAGCGAGGGTGTGCCGTGGACAGAGGGAGCCCCACTCCCGTGGAGACAGGAAGAAGTGCCTCAGAAGGTGAACAGCTCTTGGGGGTGGTCCCACGGCGTGTGGTTCTTTCCTTCTCTTCTCTGCAGTTTGCAGTACATACACTCACCATTGCCAGAAAACATAGACTTTATTTTTAAACGTAGACGCAACAAAGTAAAGTAGAACCCGATTGCCTTCGCATGTTCAGAGCCGTCTGGTTAGGCTGAAATAATCTGATGGCTTATCCTGGGGAGGCCATCGGACTGTTTCCTTCCGTCCACCCCCCTGCCCGGGCCTGCGATCACTTCACTCTCTCCTGGGAGCGGGGGCCAGAAGGCTATACCCCTTCCAGGCTGGGCTTCCTCGTGAGCCCCTCTGTACCCTGCCCTGGGTCCGGCCCTGCGGGGGGACGGGGTAACAGTCACGTGTCCCAGTGGACCTGAAATCCAAGTACGGCGGCTGGTGACGAGCACCCCCAGGAGAACAGGGCCGCCTTGTGGAAGAGGCTGGGCGGGAAGGAGGACTGTTGAGAGCCGATGGGTCTCCAGGAGGTGAGACTTCAGTGGTGACCTCCAAGACCAGCAGCCTCCAGCCACGGGGCAGACCTTTTGCCCATTTTGTACTGGGTTGCTTGCCTTTTGAGTGTTACGAGTTCTCTGTACACGTTCTGGGGATAAGCTAGTTGTCCACTGTAAGCGCCATATTTTCACGCCTGTCCTTAACTCTTATTTTGTCTTGAGACGAGGGGGGCCTGCCAGCCGGGGAGGGGGAGCAGCAGGAACGGACTTACCACTTGAGCGGGGCTGGAGCCGAGCGCCCGGCGGGAGGGAAGGAGCAGGCGGGCTGGAAGAGGAAGGACGGTCATCTTCACGCACGGGGCAGCGTGGGAGGACTGGAGTGTTTCTCAGGACTGGACGGGAGGCCCCGGCCCAGAGGGGAGTGGAAGGTGGGCGGGTGGGGAAGCGGGAGCCACCCTGGAGGCTGCTGCCGTAGCCCAGGGAGAGCTGACACCCCTGAGGTGGATAGATGGGGATGGGAGCCTGGTCGGCTCCTGCACGCAGGTGGCTGGGCGAGGCTGGGGGAGCAGGAGCAATCTAGGAAAACTCTAGATTTGAGACCCGAGTGTCCATTCAGTGGAGCCAAGGGTGATGTGTCAGTCGGGCCAGAGCCGCCGTGGTGGGGCCCAGCAGGGCAACACTTGGCCTGGGTGAGGACAGGGTTATGCCCCGAAGGGGGAAGATCTGGGTCAGTCGGCCCGAACCACAGCCAAGGGGGAGCTGGGGCGTGAGTGTGCTGTGTCGGCCCCTTGACCGGGGCTGCTCTCCTTGCCTGTCCTGACAGGGGACCCACATCCGGTTGGGGCCGTGCCAGCCTCCAGGAGCCTGCGCACCCGAAATTAAAGGGGCCGGAGCGGGTGGGGGCAGGGTGCACTGAGCTCTTCCCCAGGCCTCCCGAATTAGGATCCTGCCTCCTGCCCTCTCCCAAGGAAAGGGCAGTCTGAGCCAGCAGGCCCCTACTGTGCCATCCCAAGTGACCAGCCTGTCCCCCCAACCACAGTCACACCTCCCGGGGGCCCTGTGAAGCCCCAGGTAAACTCGCCTCCCTTTTCCATTTGACTAGAACAGGGGGAAGCAGTTTTAGAAGCAGAAGGCAAAGTGCCTGATTGTTTTTAAGATGAACCAAGACCTTGAAGACATTTTGTCTTCTGCAGGACCTGGGTCTTTCTCTTGGGTTCCCAGAGGTGTGTCTTCCCTCTGCTGCCCAGAGTGCCACTTGGCAGGTCCTGCACTGCTTTCTGGGGCCTTCTCTGCCTCCACGACGCTCAGTGGCTCCCATCCAAAACCTCTTGCCCAAAAACCTCTTACTGACTCTTCTCCCAGGGACCCCATGTTGTGGAAGATCACGGTCACCACACTAGGCCTTCCTCTAATTATCGGCCACATAGTGGGAGCATCCCTTCTCTTGGGGGGAGTCTCTGAATCCGTGGCCAGTGGCTCTGATTACACCATTTGATCAACCAGTCACGGTCCAGAAATCCTGATGATGTCATCAGGGACCAATCAGCTTCTGAGCATTCCACAGGGCCGGGGTCAGTGTCCTCCCAGCAGGAAGCAGCCATGTGTGACAGAGCCTGGTGGTGATGGAGAAGCAGGACGTTCCCAGAGGCCTTTGGGGTCTCCTGCCACTCCCCCACCCCGTCCAACAGGGGACGCCAGATTGGGAACTTGTACGTCAGCCCAGAGCAGTGGACACAGACGCATTCCTCTCTTTCTGCCCAGGCTGTTTGAGACAGAGCAGCCTGAGGTCCCTGCAGGGAAAACACTCCAGCCATTCCTAAGGATCGATCAGTGGCTTCTGGGCCAGCACCCTGAACTTGGGGCAGCTATGACCGAAAGATTGGCAAAAGTCTGCCTGCAGCTGCTCCTTCAGGGAGACGCCCTCGCAAAATCCCTGAGGAAGGTAGCAGAGGGGTCCCCCCTGCCCCCTTGCCACCCAATAGGGACCAGACTTTGGTTTCTGTGCGTTTTCCCCGAGCCTCCGAGCCACCCGCTCCCACAATAGGCAGTCTTTGAGGTTTGGGGCTGCATGGGGTCGTGGGGGCCTGGCATCTGGGGGAGAGAACCGGCGTCTGACGGTGAGGAAACAGTTCCCAGGCCAGCCTTGAGGGCCCAGCCGGGGCTGCACCCAGTGGAGCCATCCCACAGCCCCCTCGGGGTGTCTGGACCCCTCACCAGCCCGGATCGGGGGTGCTGGGGTCCCCTCTGCTGGGTGGGGAGGATGCAGGACTAGAAGAAGTCTCCAGAGGGGATTACACACTGACTGAAAGCCCCTCTTGTCGGCAGGTCGGGGACAGCGGTCTGCCTTGTATCGAACAACTTCTATGTAGTGTCTGGGTTTTGCTCTTTGATTACTTGTGTAGCTTACATACTGGGATCCTTATTTTTCCTTGTTATCTCGTGCAAGCTCTCCACAGTAACCCTCACGTACTGCAGTGCGGGAGTTTCTCCCTTTATTGGCCTTTGTATTCGTGAACGTGTTCAAAATGCACACGGGGTGACCGCTTTCTCCTTAGTCCATTTTGGAAAAAATCTCCCTTTCCAGAGATTTGATAAATACCCAACCCCACTTTCTTTCTGGTTTTTCCTTCATTTGATTTTTCAAAAACGTGGCACTTGGCAGAACGTTGCGAGCTGGCGTATTTTTAGGTGCAGAACAGTTTTATCAGGTTTTCAAAAAGGAAACGAAGGTAAAACGCACATGACAGGGAGACAAATCTGGAAATAAAATTATATACAAGTCTTTCCTAAGGATTATATATTTATTTTTCTTTCTTTGAAAAAAAAATTGTATTTATTTGAGAGAGAGAGAATGAGCTCGCTTAGGGGGAGGAGCGGAGGGAGAGGGACAGGTACGGAGCCCAGCATGGGGCCTGATCTCATGAGATCACAGCCCGAGCCGAAATCAAGAGTCAGATGCTCAACCGGCTGAGCCACGCAGGTGCCCTCGTGTATTTATTTTTTCAGTTGGTTTTTCAGTTTCCCCAAAGTAACATGCAGACGCGGTCATATTGTCACGTGAAAGGGCAGTGTGTGTCCCATGAGATGGTCCGTTGACTTTGGGGCTGGTGCGTCCCTGGCCAGGGCTCGGCCCCCACATGTGCTCTGACCCCCACAGATCCCGGAGCTGAAGCGGGACATCAGTATCCCCGACTACTGCTGCCTGGGCGACGGGGAGGAGGACGAGATCACCATTAATGCCTGGTTTGGTCCCCGGGGAACAGTGTCCCCCCTTCATCAGGACCCTCAGCAGAACTTCCTGGTCCAGGTGGGAGTCGCTCCAGAGTGTCGGCCTCCCCCAGCCCAGCCCTGCGCGGCCTGGCCCCGTTATCCATGTTTAAACACCAGAGACAGGTGTAGACAGAAGTGAAAACAGAGAGATGGTACCAGGCTCCCTGTGGGGCCCTCCTTCCGGCAGGGGCTGCTTCCAGGTGTGGTTCTGGGACCAACAGCCCCTGGGATCGGGCAGAGCAGGGCCGGAGAGCCCTATCGGGACAGAGCAAGTGCCCTCACAGTGCCTGTCCTCTGCCCTCCCCACCCACCACCCCCGCCCCGCCCGCCATCCATCAGAACCAGGCTGGTTTCTCCTGCCAGCACCTCTCCTCAGATAAGCCGCTGGGTGGTGTCCTGAGACCCAGACGGAGTGGGTGTGTGTGTGTTTACTGCAAGGGAAGGGGCACCTGTTGTAAAACCATCTTTTTTTGTAGGCAGAGAGGTTTAACAGATGAGAACATTTTTCTAGCCCAGAGGCACTAGAATGGCTGAGAGCCAGGGCCCCAGATCCACTGCTTGGCGTGAACGCCAGCCCTGTCACCTATCAGCTTGGTGACCTTGGGCTGCTCGGCTAACCTCCCTGGTTATTGATCCGTAATTTATTTCGAGGCTAAACCTATGCTTGGCCTGGAACGGGGGCAGGGATGGGGCAGTCTGGGTGCAGGGAACAGCACATCGAAAGGCACAGAGAGGTGTAGGAGGCTGGTGTGTTCAGGGACCTGCGGTCAGTGGGGCGGGGGGGCAGCCGTGACACTCGGGGCAGCAGCAGAGTGACCAGTGACTGTCTCCCCAGGTGATCGGCAGGAAGTACATCCGGCTGTATTCCCCACAGGAGTCAGAGGCTTTATACCCGCACGAGACGCACCTTCTTCATAACACGAGCCAGGTGGGTGCTCGGAGGCCCCGCGTGTGTCGCTGCAGGTCCTCCCCGCCCCCCACCTACCCCCTCCTCGGAGACCAGGCAGGTGACAGACAGGTTGGGTTTTCTTCAGGTTGACGTGGAGAATCCCGACCTGGAAAGGTTTCCCAGGTTTGCTGAGGCCCCGTTCCTGTCCTGCGTCCTGTCTCCCGGAGAGGTCCTGTTTATCCCGGTTCAGTACTGGCATTACGTGCGGGCTCTGGACTTGAGCTTCTCGGTCAGCTTCTGGTGGTCGTAGCCAGGGTCCGAGGATCTGAGACACATTCCCTGCTCTACCCCTGGTCCGGCGCTGGCTCCCGCATCTAGAGACAAGCCAGACTTGGCCTGTGCCGGAGCCTTCACTGGAGACCCGTCTGGGCACTGGACAGACACAGGGTGAGGGCGTGGCAAGGCGCAGGCTCCAGGCCAGTGTGCAGCAGAGGCCGGTGGGTGAGACCCCAGAAGGACGTTCCAGGCCAACACTCCACCCGGAGACCCTGGGCATCATGCGGCCTGAGGCTCTGGGGCCACGGGCCGGCTGTGTGCGCAGCTGTAGAGGGTGGGCTCTGAGGTCAGCTGCCTGGACTGAGACCCCGCCCCCAGCTTCCCTGCTGTGGAAGAGTTGGGATACTTCACTGTGTGTGCGTCTCCGTGTGGAAAACAGGGCAGCTCGAGCACTTGCCACGGAAAGTTCGAGAGACGGTGCACGGACAGAGCCCGGGCGGGTCTGTGAGCATTAGCTGCTGTCTGAGCTTAATAATTACTGTGATTGCCACCGACTTGTTTGTCCTGTTTGGCCTGACAGGACAGCCCCAGCCCACAGACTCTGGAGGGGGCGCCGGGCAGGCCGAGGCTCAGCCCAGCCCTGCTGGCTGTGGCGGCGGGGAGTCTGGGGAGGTTTCTGTTGTCCCTGTGCGCGCACGGCCTGACCCACAGCCGTGGCCATCTCCTAGCCTGCGTTTTCAACTGCGCCCCCTCCCGGCAGCCAGTCCCCACGTCATGAAACCACCCTCCGTGGCCCCCAGGACCCCCCTCCTGCCCATCAGTCTCATTCATTCCCCCCTCACAGACAAAGCCTTCGCCCAGGGGAGCGGGTGCCCTGCAGGTTAGCTCCACGTCCCTGCAGCGCCAGCGCCCACAGTCTCCAAGGTCCCAGGGAAGATTCTGGCAGGTGGGGAACCAGTGAGGTGCGATCGGGGCCTGGCTGGCACGTGCCCCCCTGGGTAACCAAGAGCAGGGCAGGGAGGCATCAGCAGCGGCTGGAAGTCTAGCCGCCCACGTCCTCCGCAGCAGCCAGGGCCTCTGAACTTCATCACAGGGGGCTGGGGGCTCCACGGTTTGGAGCAGGGGGACCGTCCGTGCATGCAGTAGGTGGGCTGTTGGCAGATGAGGGGGAGTCCGACACCTGAGGGGAGACCGTGGAGCGGATGTGGAATGAGGTCAGGGTGCGGCAGGGGCACTGGGGACAGTGGCAAAGGCCAGCTCTTTGGGAAGCGAAACGGCGGGCTCTCTGCAGAGACTGCTTGTTCCCTTCTCAGGCGTTATTAATAGTTCTTTGTCTAATTTTTCAGATGAAGAATTTATACCACATATTAACACCCCTAAAGGTAGCAGGGCATAAGATAGGAGCCCCTGCGTCTGGCACGCTGGCCGTCGAAGGGGAGTGGGCCATAACTCAGGGGGTCTGCCTGTATCACTCACAGCACCCCCCCAACCTAAGGGTGGCTGTGTGGCTCCAGCCTCCACGATCCATCTCTCCCGCCTGGTGGCCCCACTCATGCCCTACGCCGCCATTCTCATCCACTGGGGGGACAAGAGGACATGGTCATTAACACATGACATGGAGGCCTGGCTGCCTCCAGCAAATGTCCCTTGTCAGGTGAGAAGATGGCAACAGCCGAGATCTTCATGTGCCCTCTGTGCCGGGCTGCAAGGCCACCAGCAACCACGGCGAGCCAGAGGGCTGGCTTCAGCTCGGAGGAGTGTGGACTTGAGTCCGCTTGGAAAACGAGTTATCTCCGGCCATTCGCCGAGCCAAGGTGGGGTGAGCACGGGGCCACCGTCCCCCACCCGCCCCAGCTGCAGAGGCCTGCCTGGGGCCCAGTCTGATGCAGGCACGTGTGGCCTCCAGCCGGACGCAGCCCTGCCCTGGCATCCGGAGAGGAGGGACATTGCCGTAAGGTACAGATCATGGCGAGGGCTGTGAAGGGACCAGAATTGGGGGGACCGGGGACAGGACTTAGCACAGACAACATCTGCCGGAGTAACCAGGAGGCCAGAACCAGTCACGAGGGTTGAGGTGGAGCAGCAGGTGCAGCAGTCCTGGGGCAGGAAGGCTCTGGAGCTGGGGGAGCACAGGGAGCCCGAGACTGCACCAGCAGTGGGAGGGATGAGGGCGTGGAGCCAGGGAGATGGGTCTGCGAGCTGCTGTGAGGAGGGACAGAAGGATGAGCCTGGAAAGTGGAACAGCCGTGAGTGTTACTTGTCCCATCAGTTCCCAGAAGGACCAAGTCAGGAGTGTCAGCAGGGAGCAGAGCGGGGATGACAGCCGGGCAGGGAGGCGGGCAGTGGCCCGATCCCAAAAGCCTCGAGCACCAGACACGGTCTTCAGAATTGCGTTCTGAATTGAGGTTCTGTCAGGTGCTGTCAAGGAGTCCTCGGGAAGTTCACGTTGCGATCAACACAGGGAGACGGAGACGCTGGCAGGCCCGTGTCCCCAGGGGCCGAGTGCTAAGAGCTTCTGGAGTCACAGCTAAGGACTCCCCTGGGCCTGCATGGTATGACCCTGCCCCTCCTCGATGGCCAGACCTGGCTGGTCAGGCAGGAAGTGGGCTGTAGGAACCCTCGGGGCCCTCCCAAACCCCCAGCTCCAAGGTTCATCCTTTTTCCGACTTTCCTGCCTTCCTGTCACCTCTGCAGGCTTCCTCGTACTCCTGAGAAAGCCCTTCTCTGGTTAAGCCAGTGGGGATGCTTTCCATTGCCTACCTGACACTACTGACCTCCCCACGCAGCCGGGGGGCACCCGTGGGGCTCTCTGGGTGGGCTGCGCTGGGAGCTCCAGCTGGAAGCATCCTCACAGCCTGGGAGCTGTGCGATGAGACCCACCCGAGGCCAGGAGGGCCAGCCTCCCCCCAGCCGGCACCATTTCACGTTCTAGATGCTAGACACCCCCTGTGCCTGGGCTTGTGGAACGGACCACGGGTGGAGGCCCCCCGCCCATGTGGTGCACAGTCCATTCCCCGTTTGCCTGATAAGAGCATCTGGTTCTCTTCAGGAGATAACTGTGGCCCCGGGGCAAGCCCCAATTTGCCAGCGCCAGCTGGACTGTCGCATCCCCACCTCCGTAAGTAGCCGGAGGGCGCCGTGTGCTGGGGCAGGCGAGCCGGGTTCACGATACGCGCCGCGCCCTCTTCCTCCCGACACTGGGCGTTGGTGTGCGAGGCCCGGAAGGAGGGTCAGCGGGAAGAAAGTGGCTGGATCTCCCGGGAGACTGTGAGCACAAGGCCCGCTCCGTGAAAATACAGCAGAGGCAGTGGTGTGGAGGCCTGGTGACCTCACCCGGACCCGCCGGCTCAAGCCTCTCCCGCAGGACCCCTTGTTTTAGCCAGACTGGGTTGGGCTGACTGATCCGGGTGGAAGAGACAGAGACGGGAGTCAGGAGTGTGGCAGGTGCACTGAGCAGAGACGTGTGGGGAAACGGGGACCGAGGTCTGGAAGCTGTGACAAGATCCAGAGAGCGGCTGGGGAGCAGGCCAATGGCGGGAAACCAGGGAAAGTGTTTGGGCTGAGGGCACATGTGCAAGGCCTCAGCGGCCAGGAACAGAGGGCACTTTCGGAACGGCAGGAAACACCATGGGGGGAGAAACAGGCTGGGGGATCGGTGAGATGGGCCTCAGCACTGGCCCCGGAGTCTTTGGTCTGAGGCAGGCGCACCACACTGACGGAGTTGGGGGCAGATCGCCGCGGTGGAAAAACCCGGATCCGGCAGGCCGGCCACAGCCAGGAGCAGAGCTGGCGGAAGAGGCAGGGCGCTTGGACAGGGTTTGGGGGCTGGCTCGATGCAGGGGAGCCGGGGTGGAGGCATCTGGGCCGAAGGATGGCTGACGGTGGGGCTGCCCGTCGCCAGGCAGGGTGGAGGAACCCTGTGAGGAGAGCAGCCCCCAGCCATCAGGCAAGCTGCCTCTTGGGCCAGAGGGTCTGGGCTGTGGGAGGCTGGGGAGGGCCGGTGTTGCGGGGACGGGTGACCCAAGCCGGGGGCTGAGGCAGAGCCGCCGGGCCGGGGTCGTGCAGGAGGAGCTCTGCCAGCTTGCCCGGCTGGGACCCAAGCCAACGGGTTCTCCGTGACCCGGAAGCCCAGGAGAGGACCAGCCACCACAGGAAGCCTCCTGGGGCCGCGCGACCACAGACCGAGGCTGCAGCGAGGACTCCTCGGTGACTTTTATTCCAAACCTGCTCACACGTGAACGTAAAGCAGGGGGGTTCGACACTGCCGCTCCTCTCCCAAACCAGGCTTACCCGCGGTCCCCCACTGCGCCAGCTAGTGCTGCCGGGACCGCAAGGACCTCTTGGTGGCCCTGGACGTCCCAGCCTCCCGCTCCTTCTCGGGGTCGAAGACTTCTGGGCACAGAAAAGACCAGAAGGTACTGTGAGCAGCAGCTCATGGCCGTAGCTACGTGCCTCCTGCCGAGGGCTCTGTCCTCGCCCCTCCCTGCAGATCCCCACCCCCCACCACGCTGCCACCAGGAAGGCGGGGGTCACCTCCCACCCAGGGATGGCTGCCAGGGTGGAGGGCCTTGTTTAGACCAGACGCTCCCATCCCTGGGAGCTCACCTGGGTTCTGAGAGCCCCGGGAAGTGTGCGAGCGGGAAGGCCTCCGCACACTGCACGAGACCCTTCAGCTTGGGGTGTCGGGTCCTGCTCACACAGACCTGCATGTGCGGAGCCCTTGCCTGAGCGCTCCCCATTCATTCCCAGGTGTCCCCTCAGTCCTGCCATCAGCCCCTCCCGGAGATCAGGGTGCAGCCCCCCCAGCACCACAGGGACACGAACCTGGTATCTCGTGGGGCCAGTAGTCATTACAGTGGGGGCAGCGTGGCTCGGAATTGGACTGGAAATACTTCGCCACACAAGGTAAATGCATTCTGATCCCACATGTCTCACAGCTTTGACCCTGAAACCAGCAAGGGGATAGCCATGGAGCCTCGTGCACCCCTCCGAGTTCACAGCCCTTCCACAGGGGTGAGGAGAAGGTCCAGCAGGCTCCAGGGTTTTGTCCTCCAGGCCTGAGATGGACAAGGAGAACCCCATAGCCCTCAGCACAGGGGCTTGTGCCCGTGCTTGTGCGTACGTTCGTTCTGAGAAACGAATGTAGATGGAGAACACTCCAGACTCTAACAGCGGGGCGCCCGGGTGGCTTGGTAGGTTAAACGGCTGCCTGTGGCTCAGGTCATGAGTCGTCCTGGGATCGAGCCCTGCATCAGGCTCTCTGCTCAGTGGGAAGCCTGGTTCTCCCTCTCCCTCTGCCCCTACCCACTCCCCGCCACCATGCTCTTTCTCTCGCAAATAAAAATCTTAAACAAAACTCTAATGGGCAGAACTTGGTGAATGACGGGCCAGGCCACCCCAGGAACTCGGGCTCCCAGTGCACATGGGCCCTCAGAGCGTGCAGAGCCGAGCACATGGCTTCAGCCTTCCAGAAGGCCATTTGGAAATGTGGAGCAAAGGCTTTAAGAAAACGTGTCCGCCATGCCAGAAACTGCATGTCCGGGAAGCCAGCCCAAGGCATCAATTCCAGGATAGCTGTGCAGAGAGGCTCGTCGGAGCGCCGCTGACGGCACAGGACAGGTAGGAGTCGGGGAAGAACCCCAGGCGTCCGGCGCTGGCCGCCCGCAGGGAAGCCCCACCAGGCAGGCAGGCTGCGCAGAGCAGAACAGCAGCAGTCCCCACGGGCAGACGTTCCCACGCCGGCGCCAGGATGACACGGGCTACATGCGGCCTCTGAGAGCCCTGGCCTAGAGCTGAGGGACCGGGGGGAGGGCAGGTAGGCACGTGCATGCTGGTCCCAGACGAAGCCGAGGGGAGGCCCTCTGGCCACCCCCCACCCGGCCCCGCCAAGCCCGCCAGTAGGGTACCTGGATGAGGAGGCTGTGGCAGATGTTGCAGATCTTCACGGCGTCAGGGTACGTCTCCCGGATGTACTGCTCCATCTCCAGGATGGCCCGGCTGTGCAGCGTGAACTCTCCTTCCTTCTGCAGGACAGAACGAGGCACGGCAACGGCTCAGCCCCCTGCTCGCCAGCCCCTCGCCCGCCCGGCAGGCGCACGGCCCAGGGAGCTGCTCAGGGATTCATGCCCTTCACGCGGCCCGTTTCCACCAGCCCCGGCCAACAGGTGCCCACGCCGGCCCCTCGGCACAGCCGCAAGCCGGGAACACCTAGGCCAAGACCAAAAAGGAAGCCAAGGTGAGGCTCCCCGTGCCCCTACCTCGGCACCTCACTTGTGCCGCACAAGCGTGAACCGGGGGTGGGGGAAGATGCCAGCAGCCCCCCGAGCGAGCCTGGCCACAGACCCCCTACGGGCCTCCCCGCAGGCACAGCCCCTACCCGAGCGCTCACCCCTTCCTCTCCTCCCCCAGGCAGCCCTCCTGTATCCCTGTACCGCCTTCAGCTCCAGGGTCATTGCCTCGGTTGGGGAGGAGCTGTCCTGCGTTTCCTCTGCTCTGTAGCTGGACCTCAGCGAGCTGCCTGCCCAGTCTCTGGCTCCTCCCAGACCATGGGCCCCAGGCGGAGCGCCAGGCCCGGTGCTGCTCGTGTCCCCGGGCCTAGTGTGGGGCTCTGCGCCCGGCAGCCGGGCGATGAAACCCCCAGGGAAGGCGCGGTCGACCCGGCGCCGAGACCACGGGATGCCCGAGGCCCCACCGGACAAGCTCACCTTCCCGGTCAGGCCCGAGCCACATTTACTAAACGTGGACTGTGTGCCGGTCCTCATCGCTCATGACCCTGCTCGATCCTGTGGGGACCCTGTCACAGGGAGGGCAGGCCAGGTGCCCTAACCCCAAAGACCCAACCTCCCAAGATCTCCCAGGCCCCGCAACGCAGTGGCCCCTGAGGCCTGGAGGTGCGGCCGTCAGCAGAGGCCCATGCTCCAAGGCTCCATGCCCCTGGGCGCCTCCCCAGACCCCGCCACCGGGACACAATCCTGTCTGTGCCCTGGGTGTGCACGACAAATCGCAGGGCCAAAGCAGGGTGCTCGGCTGCATGGAGCGCATGGCTCCGGGGCGGACCAGCAGGTGACTACGGTGTGTTTCCTCCTGAAAATCCAAGATTTCCTCACCTCCCCATGAGGAGCAAGTACATCTTATCTGTTTGGGAGAAATTTTGAAGTAAGTCCCGTCCCCCTGGAATGTCCCCTCCGGGCCCAGCCCTGGTCCCAGCCACATGGCTGGAGCGTCCACAGGGCGGTAAGGCACGAGGAGTCGTAGCTCAGTGGGTTAGCACCCGCACTGCCCAAGAACATTCCCTCCTGCCGGGCCTGCCCCACAGAGGAAGAGAGCCCAGGACACAGCAGGTATTAGGAGCTGCTGTGACCCAAGCCTGGGCCTAGATGGGGCTCTACCCCCGCCAGACCGGGGACATCACCCACGCCATGCAGCTGCGGTGTGTCCGGCTCAGCACCAGAGCCAGGGGGCTCTCGGTCATCACAGGGCAGGGGGCAGACCCGAGGCTGCAGTGGGCCCCGAGCAAGGACTCAGGCCACAGCTCTGGGGACCAGAGGCAGACTCTCCCTGGAAGGGATGTGGTGCAGCACTGCACCACGAGCAGCGGCCCCCAGCTGCGGCTCTGACCACGGCGTGAGGAAGTGGAAGGCTGCCCTGAGCACGCCGGGTGCAGACATAGGCACTAGGGCCACGGCTGAGGTCGGGTCAGCACGGGGCCAGCCGGCCTCGGGGTTCCTGGCAACAGCACTGCCTTCTGTGGGAAAAGCCCGGAAACATCTGCTCTGCTCCAGTCAGCAGTGGCAGCCACGGGGTCTAGAAACGGGGATGTCAGCACCATCTGGTCCCTTCCCGGCCATCCCCAGCTCCTCTCCAGCACCTGCCCCCATGTCCTCCTGGCTCCTTCCGGCCAGCGTCTAAGTGAGAGGCCCTGAATCATGTAACACTGACGGTAAGAACCACAAGGACAGCGATCCTCTGGGAGCCCGGCACCAGGCACTGCACATCGGCCGTCCCATTCCTGCCGGGCTGGGGACAGGACTCCTCCCCGCTCACAGAAGAGGGGCTCCAGCTGCCCTGGCCAGGAACCAGGCTCAGATCTGACGCCAGAGCCGTGCCCTCCGCCCCACATCTGCCGCCCAGGGCCCCAAGCCCGGGTGCGGTCCCTGCTCTGCACTTCCAGCTGCGGCGCTGTGGGCCCCTCATGGGAACGAGCAGGAGGCTCCGAGCCCTTCCCATAGGGTCCTGGTGAGCGTGAAAGCCGGTGAGGCACCTGACACGGCCCAGCTCAATGGACAACCACCAGATCCAATGTGGTTTGGGGGGGAAATTTGTCATCTGAACAGTGAGCCGAGCTGGGGCACCAGCGGACACACTACCTCGATCAGCCATTTGTTCTGTACGAACTTCTGCAGCACCTGCTCCGCCTCCTTCTTCCTCATCTTCTTGCCTTTAAGTTGGTCAACCAGGTTCAAAATATTTGTGGAAGACGCAAAGCCCGTTTCTGAGTCAATAATCAGTTCCAACTGGAAAAAAGCAGCAGGTACCACGTTTATCCATCAAATCGGCAAAAGCAATGTTTGAGCAAGAACCCCGATCCTGGCAGGGAGGGGGCAGCAAAACGCTCCCGACCGCGGGCAGAACTGGACCCCCAGAACGCTCTTTCAGGAAGCTGGTCGCATAGGGCACCAACAGCCATAACCACAGCCAGTCCTTCTGACTCGGTGCTCAGCCTGTGACATCACGCCACATGAATGACCTTAATGTGCCCAAATCAAGAATCTTCTCTCGCCCCCCACCTTCCTAAAGGGAGAGAAGCTGGGGAATGAATGGAGGCAGCACCACACCTGTGGGAAAGGCATCGGGGGTGGGGGACCAGCTGGAGGCAGACAGGACAGGACAGCAAAGCCAGGGAGGGGCAGGAAGCAGGCACTCTCGGAGTTGACGGTCCCCAGAGGGGGCTCAGAAAGGAATGGTTCTAAGACTAGTCACCAGAGACCGGGATTGGCCAGATCTGGATGAGGCCAGAATGTCTCAACTGTCTTTATGTCCTGGTCCTTAGAAGGTGCCCCCAGGGCTGAGAACCACTGTGGTGGCCAGTGCTCAGCCGGGCGAGTGACAGGAAGGCTGAGCCAACGCACTGATGCTGGGGAGACAGCAGCGCCTCTCAAACGAGACCGTGGAAAAGGCCCGTCAGGCACCTTGTTAAAATGCAGACCGAGATTCAACAGTCTGGGGCGGGGGTACTGGGATTCAGCCTTTCTAGCAAGCTCGCTGCTGCTGCTTTCCTGTTACCAGGCAGTAATACTTGGTGGACCGCATTGCACACCCAGAGGCCTCATGCAAAGCCAATCCGGTTCAAACCTAGAGAGGCTCTTCCTTCCGTGGCTCCCTCCCATCATCACCAGGCGTCAGTGAGCTGCTCTGTGACCCCCACCCCCCGTACAGAGCCACCTGGGACAGCAGTGGTGACCCTCCAAGATCACGGTTTCCATTTCTGATGATGGAAGACAGCAGGTTCCCCAGAAGAAGCCCGGCCATTAAACAGGAACCACTGTACTTACGGCCTTTCTGAACAGATCCAGCTCATTCTCTGCAAAATCTGAGGCCATTTTGGAAACAGAAGTCGTTGCCAGATTCACCTACAAAAGAGGTCAGCATGGTGGTCAGGCTGGGCCCCTCACTGGTACCTGAGCACTGGTGTCCAGGGGTTGCCGGCCATAGCTGGATCTGTGACCAGTCCCTATGTGATAGACCTCTATCTCTAGCTCAGTCAGCACGTCTGCTTCTCAGAGGTTCTTAGAACTCCGAAGGTTGTGTACTATCTTCCAAACCCAGATACATTTGGGGAACTTGTCTGCACACTGAATGGAGAGTCACGTGCAAAAGGCACTGACAAGTCCAGCAGTGAACAGCTCTGATTTACCGATCTAATCCAGTGTATCTGTAGTTACTTGACACCACAGCCCTTCTGGCCTGGACGAGTGTGAGCGCCTGGCCGCGCCCCTCTCACGTGGGCCTGGCTGTGGGAGCCTGGTCTCCTTAGATGGGCCTATGGCAGTGCCCTGGCCCACCCTGGGGGCCTTGTCTGCTCCACCCGCCTGTTTCTCCCCTCGCTCCCCGGCCAGGAGGCCCAGATGGCTCTCAGTCCCAGCGCCCCACACATTCTTTCTTCTCACAGCGTCCACATTTTATTCCAAACGAAAAACCACTTTCCTCCCTTTGATGCTAGCATTGCACGCATTTGAGGGTACTTCTTGCATTTAGCTGTCAACAAACAAAACCCGTCTTGGGCAGGGGGCTCCGTGTGGGGCAGTGAAGTGAGCACTGAGGTGCCAGCCCCTGGCCCTGATCACGGCACAGGACACTGACAGCAGCGCCGGTGACCCGGTAGGCGGGGTGGCTGGGCTAAGTGGGGTGTGTCTGTGTCTCTCCCACGGCAGGGCTGCTGGAACGGGGCACTGCCACCTCCACCCACCGCAGTTCTGCACAGACGCCACAAGAGGGCGCCGGCGTGCACTCACCAGTGCGTAAACGGGTCTCCCGTCGTCTTCGGTGGCTCCCTTCTTGATCTCAATATACAGGGACTCCAAGACGCTGTTAATGTTGTTGATAAAGTCCTCCAGCTCCTCCACGGCGGCAGTGCCTGGAGAGAAGCGGGATGGGGCAGTGGGTATCCAGAAAGTGTGACTGTTGTAGTCATTCCATCCACGTGAGCCCATAACAGGAAAGCCAGGAACAGGTGAAGGCCCAGCCCCCTTGGGTCAGTGCCAATCATGTGGCTTCTTCCTTCCTCGAGTACTCAGACATGGAGGGTGAATGGTGTCTGACCCTGCCCAGCTCTTCCTGTCCTTGCTGGAAGCCCCCACTGCTGCCCCTGCCACCCACTATACCCCTCTCCGCACATTTCCCCACAAGGAGCCTGGCCCTGCGCAGCCTCACCCGCGCTGGGTCTCTCTCTCTCTACCTTCTTCCCTTTATCCGCCATCCAGATATGTACCGAACACTCCCATGCCAACCTGCGTGCTGGCTCCCGGTCAGGAGTGGGGTGGCAGTGGTGAAGACCAAAGATGACCAGACCAGGGTAAGAGCACCAGCACACATGGGGCACACCCCTGGGAGAGGCCCTGCACGGGCACTTTCCAGCCATTAGTCTGTCCTGCCAGCAGCCCTCTGAGGCAGGCACCAGTATTCTCCAGATGGGCAGCTAGGCCCAGGTGCCCAGGGGGCTGGCGCACCCACACTGCACCCCCGGGGCACAGTGAGCAGAGGGGAGCCCAGTAGCATGGCCAGAGCCTGGGCTCAGATATGTATGCTGTCCTGCCTCCACGCTTCCCGGGGCTGCACAGGGAAGCCCCCTCCACTGTCCTGAGGCTGCCAGTCCATACACGGGGGGCACATACAGAACCCCGGCAGCGTTCACCATCCCTGGGCTGCAGGGGAGCTGGGGACAGGAGAGAGCCAGGGGCCACTGAGGCTGTAGCAGGAGGCAGGAGCCCCACGCACAGGGCCCTGCAGCCCAGGGGAAGGTCGCATTGTGGAGCCTTGCAGAGTCGGAAGCAGAGAAAGGACACGGTCAACTTTGTGTCTTGGAATTACCCTCTTGTGTACTGTGATACTTTTTTAAATAAAAAGTATTTTTTTTAAAGATTTTATTTATTTAGGGACGCCTGGGTGGCTCAGTTGGTTGGACGACTGCCTTCGGCTCAGGTCATGATCCTGGGGTCCCGGGATCAAGTCCCACATTGGGCTTCCAGCTCCATGGGGAGTCTGCTTCTCCCTCTGACCTTCTCCTCGCTCATGCTCTCTCTCACTGTCTCTCTCTCAAATAAATAAATAAAATCTTTAAAAAAAAAAAAAAGATTTTATTTATTTATTTGACAGATCGAGATCACAAGTAGATAGAGAAGCAGGCAGAGAGAGAGGAGGAAGCAGGCTCTCTGTTGAGCAGAGAGCCCGATGCAGGGCTCGATCCTAGGACCCTGGGACCACAACCTGAGCCAAAGGCAGAGGATTTAACCCTGAGCCACCCAGGCGCCCCAAATAAAAAGTTTTTCCTAATAGTTTTATTAACTTATTAAGATAATTTCAACAGATTTATGAGAAGCAGCCAGCATACAAACAGTATGATACCACTTATGTTAAAAATAACGAGAAAACTCATGAAGTACTGCAGGAAAGGCCTGGAAGAACAGCCACCAAGCTGATGGCTAAGGCCATTGCTAGGAGGGAGACACAGATGAAGGTGTCAGCCCAGGACACTTTATCTGTGCTGGACTCCGCACAGAGAAAGATACTTCCTTGTATACCCAAGGCCTGTTGAAGTTGAAAAGAAAAGGACCAGTCACACTGGTGGCAGTGAAGGTCACAACCACGTGGACCATCCAAGGGAGAGTCGTGATACAGGCAGAGGGGCCCAGAAAAGCTAATGACAAGACCAGGACAATCACTCCAACATGCAAATCACGGCAGGGATCAAATCTTCCTTTTTAAGTAAACTTGTTTAAAGTTTAAAAAAAAAAAAAGCCCTTTCAGTAAAAAGTCAGCAGTGATGAGGCGGTACAGAGACGTGGGACAAACCGCAAAGACAGTATGACGCTGGAATGTGGCCCCCGCTGCCGAGCGCCTGGGAGCAGAGGCGGGCCCAGGTGGTACTACTTCCTGCCTCCCCTCGAGCCCTTCCTTTCCGAAAGGCCTCCCTCCTCCTCACCCGCATTCCTGCCCACTCGTTCCGGAGGACGACTCAAATCACACTTCTTTCCATGAAATGTTCTCTGCAGCCCCCCGTACACCGGGCCTTTGCTGTCCTTCCTCTTCCACACCAAGGGCCGTGCACGGCCGGGGGGCCTGGGCCAGTGCAGGATGGCCAGGAAGCTTCTCAGCAGGTGCGAAGCCCTTGCTGCAGCAGCGCCCAGCCTGGGAAGCCGGTGCACAGCTGTGGGGCCTTCGGGAGCACAGCCTCGGGGGGGACAGGGCTCCTCGTGAGCAGGAGCTGCTCCGTCCACCCAATATGACACAATGGCAAGTCCCACCTCCCTCTGAAAGTGATAATGCACATTTTCCACCGAAAAGGCCACTCTTGGGTATCGTTCAGAAAAAGGTACCCTGTGGGCAGATCACAAACCCTCCCGTAGGACAGACTTTCCAGCGACCTCATCACTCCATGCCCTCCCCCCTCCCATCCCTCCAGCGTGCTGTCCACTCTCATTTTTCAGAAACATGCCTGTTTTCACTGAACAAAAACCACCTAAAAGACCAAAAACAAAAATACCCCAAAAACAAAAAAACACACTTCCTACTGCTGTCCTTGCAGGAGCCAGCCACCTTCTCAAGAACTCACTTTCTCTCTGACCACACAGCCTCCTATGTCAAGGGCATGTCTGCACCCCTGCCTACCGCTGACACTGTGCGTGCTTCTCTGCCCTCTGCCACACTATCTCCTCCTTAAGTAAGAGAATAGACTTCTCTTGGGGCACCTGGGTGGCTCAGTGGGTTAAAGCCTCTGCCTTCAGCTCCGGTCATGATCCCAGGGTCCTGGGATCGAGCCCCGCATCGGGCTCTTTGCTCAGTGGGGAGCCTGCTTCCTTCCTCTCTCTGTGCCTGCCTCTCTGCCTACTTGTGATCTCTGTCAAAATCTTAAAAAAAAAAAAAAAAAAAAAAAAAAAAGAATATACTTCTCTTGTGTTCAGGAACACCCTCTACCCAACTTGAGTTTTGAGGTCATCAGCATGGCGCCGTGGTGCCATCCCAGGCCCACCCTACCTTTCTGGAGGACCCCCGGTGAGTCTCACCCTTTTCTCATCCCTGAAGGCCACCGACTGCCTCACTTCCAACTTTGTGAGTCTAAAACACATCCCTCTGACCGTCTCTCTAGCACGACCCTTCACTCCAACCCCCCAGTCTCCCACTCCCCCAGCGTCCTGGACACGCCTCCTCCCAGTCATGGACCAGACCAGCCGAGGGGAGGTTCCCGTGCCCTGGCCTCCTGCAGCTCCCAAGCAGTGTCTTCCTCAATCACCTGGCTGTTCCAGTCACCAAATCTGGCTGCCCCACTCATGGAGTCACCTGGTAACCTTTGCTGATAGCCATTTCCATCTCTAACCAGATCTTAGCTTTTTTTTTTTTTTTTTTAATTTTCTTTCTTCAAAAGTATGATTTGGGGAGAAAATAATTCCAGATACCCATATCCAGAGAACTGGAAGGCAGGGAGCTGAAGGCCCCAATCTGAGGTCAGGAGGAGTGGCCCCAGCCTATCGGATAGACACTCTCAATCTAAAAGGGACAACAGGAGAGCTCAAGGTGGTTCCAGCTTAGCCACCAAGAAGTGGGAAGGTGGGAAGATGGCTTTGGCCAGACGCTTGTCCCACGTCCTGGTGCCCTCTGGGTCCTGCACATTCCCCAGCCTGGCCCCTGGCTGTCAACCAGTCCTATGTGTCTCTGTCCCCAGTGCCCTTCCGACATGGTTCTTTTAAAGGCAGCCAGAACTGGGGTTGTTTGGTTGGTACCAAGCTTCCCAACAGGCCCATCAAGTGTCACGGGCACAGCAGATGGGGGATTCCAGACCTCCAGTCTTCTGAGGAGCTGTGTGCACGGCCGCGCCCCCGTGCCCTGCCCTGCTCTTGAAGCCGCAGTGGAGAAGCTCTCGTCTGCAGATCTGTACGAACACCCTGGGCCGAAGGAGGATCAGAGGATCCCTCAGGCCCCAGTATCCTGTAAGGCTAGGGTCATGATGAAGTGTGTGAGATAAAAGGTTGAACCACACACTTTGGAGGCAATTACTTCCAGTCTTAGTCCCACCATGTTGATGACTTAAGAGAATTAATAACATCACTCCTCCCTTCAGCACCCCAAACCCACCGAGAAAAAAGAGAGGCTTCAGCTTAGTATCAAAGTTGCCGGATTTTGTGCAGTTTGAGCTGGATCAGAGGTGGGGTGCCTGCGTCTGATCAGACCTGCGGTCAGCACGACGGGAGGACCTGCTCCAAGAAGCTATGTGACAAGCAAGGCCCTGGGCCCACCGGCACTGTCTCCTCTCCGAGAGCAGGAGGCCCCCACCCCAGGGCACGCAGCCCCATGTCTAAGCTAAGCACAGGTCTACAGCTCTTCAGAGCCCCCTGGATCGTCTCTTCTTGGGAGCCGGGTGTCCCTGGGCCTTCCTTGGGGGTTGGGGCAAAGTCATTGCAGACGAGCTACAAACAGCCAGCCTGCAAGCCAGCGGCTGGGATTCACAGGAGTGTGCGTGGGGCACTGTTCGCTCGCTCGCCTCACATCATCAGTACCGGCGACTGCGAGTCACCGATATCACCTTGATATGAGAGAGGCTTGGGGAGAGTCCCCATCACTTAGCAAGGGCACCCAGGCCTGCCCAACCCCACATCCTGAGCCCGGTGCACGAAGCCACAGGGCCTCCCCAGAGCAGAGCAACCGTTCCTGAGAACACATGCCCTGCCTGTGGGGGCTGAAAGGCCAAGGCCCAGGAGAGGACAGAATGGCTTTTTCTTTAGCAGGAAATGCCCTTTCGAATGGACAATTAAAGAAAGGGGACTCAGGGCACTCCCCGGGCTGGGGAAGCAGCCCAGAAAAGGGGACACTGTTCCGCGGACAAGCGGCTGCTTCATTCTGAGACTGCTTTATATGGCCACTGCT